TTTTTCAATACAACGCTAGTTAAGTTTTGAGAAAACCGAGATTTTCAAAAATGTTAACTCTGAGACACTGTGTGCACACAATTCTTCTCACCTTAGCTATATACATTTTGATGCGCTCTTTCAATTGACACCAAACTACCCATACATCATCAAAAGTTGTGGCTATCACATAGTTCTGAACTCGGTTAAATCAGCTACAGAAGATGAGAAATGCACGCACTCCACCGCAAAATCAAATAAACATATAAAATCGCAACTTTCCGAGTCGAGCAGGCGTCATGGGGTCGAACAGTACTTTATGCGTTCTTTCTCGTGTTGAATAAAAACAGCGTTAGAAACGAACAAAGATTGATTTTTCTTGTTACATTTCGCTTTGGCAAAAACAACAAACAATGCATGGTGGTCAACAATATAAAACTTTGTACATTTAAATAGTCTTTGTTTTTAATTCTATTACTTTACTCAATAAAATAAATACCAATACAGCTATTAAATACTAAAACAATCTTAAAAAGCAAATCATATTTTGAACATGATCTCCACACAAAACTGTGTCGCACGGTGTTGCCAATAGCCGCAGTTGATACCAACTACTCTTTGATTTTGCTTGGTGGTCAACAGCTGTAGTTGACACTTCCTGGTGGTGGCAATAGAGCTACCCTTAAATTAATATATTTACTAGTGCTTTCAAAATCGATAAAACGTATTGTGTCTTTTATTTTGTATATCTCACAAGATCATAGGTCTTTTGTAAGTCTGGTGTCACATCAGAAGACTTTTTAAGGTATTCATATGTTGATTTTGGTCTAAGTATACCGAACTTTTGTTAATCTACTGTTTTGATGATCCAACCGAAGATTTACTCCAGTGTACTTAGCGTTATTCCTTCTTCAGAGGATATTCGTTTCTAAATTGATTGAAATAATCTTGAGTTACGAAGAATATGTGTACTTTTTAAACGATATTTATAGTCGTAGATAAGAAAATAACTTGACATATACATATAGAAATTTTGCGATTCTATTGTAAGAAAAAATTATTTACGCTCAGATTACTAATGATGAAAAAGAAAAATAATTTGCTATAAAGAGAAACTTGTAGCAATTTATGTGCTGAATGAATAATAAGTGTCGTTGGCATTGTGTTTTATAAAAGGAAGAATGAGAAGAGGCTTACATACCGAAAAAAACCTAGTAATTATTAAAACCGTTAAATGCCTCACAATTAGACCTGTTGGCCGCGCCGCTGCCGCCGCCGAAGGCGTCAAAATTTTTTGGACCAAGTCGCCGCCGCCGCCGATGGCTAAGTTAGATGTTTGCGCAGCCGCCGAAGGCGTCCAAGTTTTGTGGAGGTTCTCGCTGTAAAAGCTTGCTTTAGCCTTCGCCGATACAAAAAGTTTTGCGTGAAAAAATCATGAGAAACAGGCGGAATCACTGGTTCAGTATGTCTCTGTCATCTATATCTGCATAGGCATTACCGATATAAGATAAGAACATTTATTAGGCATAATTTCAATGGTCTCATACACAACAACGCTTTATAGAGATTTTAACTACCAACAGATATTCATTATTGATCAGTAATTCTTCTAAGTTATAGAATTGTTTCGAGGCACTCTACCATTCGCTGAAATGCTATCTACTTATTGCTGAAGGTATTCCTTGGATCCTTATTAAAGTATTTTATCGGTTGTTTTATATTGTCCTAAACCTTCAACTGCAACAAAAATGTCTTTACAGTTGAAAAACCTTGAAGTGCAATTAAAACCATTTAAACCAAATCAGTCTTTAGCTTGGTTCCATTTTGGTCATATTTATAATAATACAAGTAAAGAAAAAGTAGACGGAAAAAATGTTTATTGTAAAATTTGTTTTGATAAAGAAAAAGAAGAAAATGGAGATTTTATCTTGATGAATTGTCAACTTAATAGTTAGACAAAATTGAACTTTAGATTTTGATTGAAAATAAAATAAAAGTTTGATGAATTTGACAATGGATCTTGGTTTAAACTAAAGCTTTTTATACTCAAATTTGGTTGTGGTTGACCCCTCCGCTGACGATGAAAATCTTTAAATAATTTTTCAGCCGCCGCCGCCGATTTTCCGACCGGCGCACAGGTCTACTCACAATTTCGAACAAATTCTATCAGAAATTCTATCAAATATTATCATGAGTGTAGAAATTATAAAGTTTATCCCCTTTGCAAAAGTTGATCCACCCGCTATGACCGATTATTCAGTGAACTAAATTTAGTGTTAATGTCGGAACATAATCAGGCATGTATTCAGCTATTTAATGGCTGACGTGGTCAAGACTGAAGGTCATGTCATCATATGCGATTTATTCTTTGGTGTATATAGAGTGAATCCTATTCTTTTCTGTTTGTAATTGCATCATGTTTCATTGAATATCTTGTTAGTTTTCGACCCGGTCGCTTGGTTAAAAAAAATACTTGTAGACGTTTGTATCGTATTCTAGGCAGTTTTACTTTTTACGGTATAAAAATCACATTTGAGCAAATGTCGTATTCTACCCAACAACAGCTATTTTGACTCCAAATAACTTCAAAATCAATGAAATAAACTGACACTTAAAAATAGCTAAGTGTCACTTTAAGTGACGAAATGACACTCTAAGTGATGAAGTGTCACTCAGAGTGAGAGACATTTCGAAAGTGTGAAACCAGATTTTTTGAGCACTCGAAAGTACTCCAAAATTAGGAAAAGATTTTGATCCGCTTATCATGGACCAGTCGTTATTCATGAGAAGATAAATTTTCTGAACAGAACATTGCTCTTCTAAGCTTATACAGAACAAAAACAGAGCTTTTCTTTTCTACAAATAATATTTTTATGCGATACTTTTATATAAGAAAAAAAATTCTTCTTAATGAAAAGTTTGCATGATAAATTTATTTCATAGAGATGCAAACGAACATATTTCAATAATCACCACCCATGTGTCCTGAGAAAAGAAACTGCATCAAAAGAATTAAGTTTCAAAGTTACAAGGATTATGATTAATATTGACTCGTATTCAAGGCATACACAAAAAGTAAAAAATAATGTAAATTTTAAAATTGATAGAACCATTTTATTTCTTTAAATGTCGTTAGAAATATAATATTTTATCAAAAAAATAAAAATACTAAAATATATCTGCACGCCATGTTACAAACACATAAGAAGTTTTCAAATTCTGATAGATTAATCAAGAAAAGTGTCTTATTGACAATAGAAAAAGAGTGGAGATGGAGAAATAAAGAACGGGAAAAAATAATAAAATCATCGTCGTTCTCTGTTGAGAAGTAATTCAATAGTTTTTTCTTCTTCCTCCTTCTTTTTTTATGGGTGGGGTTGGGAGGGGGGGTCTATTGTTGTTACCTATACCCGTACCTCTCTATATACTTATAAGCTATATAACATCATCATTTCTTCATCATAAACATAAATATATATTATTTTGAGTTATACTAATACATATTTATTATTCTATTTCAAAAAGCAGCATGGGTGAGTGTTAATGTAGTTTTCAGTTTCAAAAATCTTACTTTTAATCTCGTTTATTGATGTAAAAGTAGAAAATCCAAAAGTTACAAGTCGCAAAAGCGGATCCAGGATCCATATACATGTGGTCACCGTAAAAAAAAAGAAGAAACAAACACTTAACTGTTACAGATTCGCTAATCCATACTAAATAGTACAAGAATACAGATCAGTCTTAAAACTATTGAACGTTTTTTTTAAAACAAGTTGTATGATTTTAGTTGTTTGACAAATTTTAGTTTTGTTCATTCAGAAATTCAAAATTCGTTTCTGTGAGGGCAGAGCGTAAAAATCTATCCTACGGTGAACAGTAAAGACCTTCCATATATTCTGTGATTCTAAGCGGAGCTAGTTTCAGCTAAAATTTTAGAGAACAGTGGTATAGTCACTGATGTCAGCCCAATTTTTTCTCTTTGTAGCTAACATTACATGCTATTCACTTATGATTAGTCAAAAAATTCCAAATGCACTCTGAAAGCTCCTATTAAATATTTTCAAGTAATTCCTATATCAGAAGTTTGTTTCCTTTATATTGTCCCAAACAAACTTAAAGTAAAAGAGTTGAAAACCTTTTATCATCCGTTGCTGAAGTAACGGATAGTCAATGGGTGAAAATCTGAAAAGAAATTCTTTGTTTTATCGTTTTCTTTCACTATAATCGAGTAGTCATTTTCTGTAACGCTGAATATGTAGCAGAGAGGCTGATTAAATATTTTTCAAATGCATACCGCGAAAGACGACTATAAGTCATATCAAAATATCCATTAGGATAAAATATAATCACAAAGTGCTCCAACGTAAAGACAGAGGACGTTACAATGAAAAGTAGCTTGTAAAAACGATAAATCATCGATCTTTAGCTACCGGCTAGTGTAGTAGCGACATCATACGACGACAGAATCTCATCAGATACAATCGCGCAATAAACTAATAATTCAATAAGTTGAACTAGATAATAAAAATAGTTACCGCTGAACTTCATCGACTGAAAAGCAAATTTAGAATTAAAAATCACTTTTCGTACTCTCAACGTGTTAATTTGCACGGGTTAAATACAAAGGTATTGGAACTCAGATTCATCTATTTCTATATGTAAATTTAGATTTCATAAAAAATACAATTGAAAAGAAAACGGGAATGGATTTGGATAAAGACGGTCGAGTTGGTGGTGGAACGGGTACGCAAAAAGAAATCTACACATTTCTTCCCATTACTGAAGGTCACATTCTTTTTTTTGTTAAAGGACAAAAACTACCAGGTCAACATGGTGCCGCAGTTCCAGGTCAGCATACAGGAGGGGTTGGTGGAGGTAAAAAACATCGATTTGGTCTCATTTATCAAATTAGTTTCACATCTTATTATTGTAGGTTTCATGAATAAAGCTGAACAACTAACCCGTTTTGATATCAATAATGATGGTCGAATAGGCGATGGACAAAGACCTCAGTGAAGAATTCACATAGACAAACATTCAACGCTTCCTCTTATTCATTCTTATTTTATTCAAGCTATGTTATACAAAAGTCTTTTTTCAACAATTGTATATTAAAATTTTCTTTCGTTTTGCGCTCGATGACCTGAGTACAGGTAGTATCAAACTACCTGTACTTACTAAACTATAAGGTAAATAAATGCCAGAAAAATGATGAATAATTTATATTTACATCCAGGTGAAGGCGCTATGTATTGTTCGTATAGGAAATTGATATGGATCATATGTGCTGTCTTTTTCTCTCCATTGTAAGAAATAGATTTTTTTCTGTTGTCATTCGATCATGCACTAAAACAACAAAACGGTTGCCAAAGGAGAAAATAAGGTGTTTATAGCGATACCGTGCGACTTTTTTGATTTCTTCATCATTTCGACGTAAGTTATATTAGAGTAAAACTCTTTTGTCCTGATATATCTTCTGTCTCCTACTATAAAGGGAATTCACTCGCTTTACTCTCTTTGTTCTTTGCACTCTTTTACTTCGCTGCACTCAAAATTGAGAACAAAAAGATGTGGTACGAAAGAGTAATTCAATATCTTTTTCCCAGGTAGATTAGATTTTCTTCTTCTGACTCAGCTGGAGTCGCAGAGAGAGAGAGAGAGAGAGTTCTTTTTCGATATTTCCTGAAAAACTTTTTAATTTAACTGTTTTTTTCCGAACACATCAAAGGAGAGACATTCGATTTAGGTATCTAAATTCTCTGAAAATCACACCAGAGTAGATCTAAAATACCTAAGAAATTCATAGACCGATAATGATAGGGATAGTTGACAGAGCCGTAAATTGTGGTGTAGATCCCCTCAAAATAAAAATTTGTCATTTCCTTCCAGCGGAAATTCAACTTTTTTTCGTTATTTTTGGGCGAACAGTGAAAATTTTTTTTCTTACACCATTAAAAATTTTTGTATACCCCTCCAAAGTTGGTCGGGACGCTTACCAGGAGCGTAGTTAGTTAGGTCACCACTCCCCTGATTGTAGAAAAGTCTTTTTTGGTTTTGTCGCGTAGAATTTTTGATACGTCTTATAGCATGTAGAAGCTGAATTTTCCTTTTTACTCGTGAAAACGTTTTTGGGCAGGACCACCCTCTGCTCTAGGATGCTAGCTACACTCCTGGACCTGGTGTTCGACTATTTGTTTATTCGTCAGAAAAAAGCAGAGCTGGACGAATTTCTGTTAGATAAAAATTTTCACTTGGTTTAGTATTCTATTGGGAACTTAGAATTGTATGATACTAAGTAGAAAAGAAGAACATTTTAAGCCATATTAGTAGTGCGTAATTCGCATTACTTCGTTATATTACGAATTTAGTTGTTAGATAAAACTGATTAGAACATTTGCTTTTTTTCTTGATGTTCTAGGATAAACAGATCGACAGTTCGATGCGCCAACGCAATATCAGGAACTTCCATAGTAAAACCCATTAGGGCCCCGCTTTTCTAGGAGCCTCGAAAAACAGGGTCTTCAAATAATAGCTTTTTCCGGATATTTATGCAATTAAATTTTTTCTGAAAATCTTCTAAACGGTAAGACTTGGAGCAGGAAAAAAAATTTTATTCCGTAACTCATCGTGCCTAACATTTCTGGAAAGCTTCGTCAAAATCGAATGTACAGTGTCGGAGATAATTTCTGAGGGGAGGGGGCCGTTAATTTACCTCAGTGAACAATTTCTGTTCAGGATCTTCATTTTCTTTGACCTTAATGAAACAAAGATTAAACGCAAAAACCTTTTCGGAAGAGATCCGTGCAAACCGGCCCAAATACATTCTGCGAACCGGTTCGTAGAATATATACGAAACGGATATATTCGAATGTATAGAACGGGTGCTCAGAGGACAGCCAATTTCTTCAGTGACACGTTGAAGTGAGGATGGTGTCTTTTTTCCACATTTAATGTAAACGTTGCTTTTCAAGGTTTTATCGACCTTTTGCGAAAAGGTCGGATCTCCATGCAGACCATCAAAAAAATAGCAGCGCGGTCCGGTCCCATAAACAGGTTTCAGAAAGATTGGCTCGATCGTGCCAGGTCCGTGGGCCTCATGTGTTTTTCTGGCTCGTGACGATCCCTGATGTCCACCCCCGAGTTCAATGATTTATGTGTCTATCGATAGAACACACTGAGCTAGTAAAAAGCTTAAAACAATTGGGCTCTTATTGCTTCTTTCAAGGGTTGGAACTTTGTTAATATTCTGTACAACGCATTACATTAAATATTGAAAAAGCTAAAAAATTGATAAGTTTGCTAAAATAGCGAAATAAGACTTGAAATGTTTTTTTATTATGATACTTGTAGTCTGCCAATATCACACTGCATTTCAGGCTTCTAGTTCTTTTTTTTCTTGAGTTATCGAGTTTTTACTAGGCTAAGGAAAAACATGTAAAGTAATGTAGTCGCTTCAACTAGTTTTTTGCTTTCTCATTGTTTATGTGTGTTTCAACTGCTTGTTGTTTTGACGAAACCAGTTTTATTAGCAAGTTAAAAATGTTTTAATACGTTTTGTTCTAGTTATTGTTGAGAAGCAGTTATATTTGTTTGTATTTTACCTAGACTTGTTAACGTTTTTATTTAAACTGTTGATGTTTTAATGTGATATAAGTGACAAGTCACGACAAGATAAAACTAAAGAAAATCAAAAACGCTTTATGTAGTAGAATACATATTCATACAGTATCGAAAACAGTATTTAACCTCATGATGACCAATAAGGTATCTGACTTGAACTAGCAGTTGTACCTCTAGCACATAATTATTATAAAGGACAAGTGGCAGAATGTAAGGTTTCGTGCCCAAAAAATTACGCAATGAGTCATACATATTCGGAATCAGCGTCGAATTCTGAGTAAAACTGTATTCTCAGATCGTTCAAATTCGTCTGCTGATCGCATTTCCTAACGTAGAACCTTGAAGTTGGTATCGAATGAAAGAGCACGTCGACTTCTATATATTTCGACAGAGAAAAGTTATGCTACACCTCGGAGTCTTG